TATATATATATGGTTTTTACCCCTATATCAACATAAAGTGTAAATGTGTGGCTTTAACGCCTCTATCAACATAAAGGGAAAATGTGTGGCTATAACACCTCTAATCAACATACAGTGAAAATGTGTGACTATAACACCTCTAATCAACATACAGTGAAAATGTGTGACTATAACACCTCTAATCAACATACAGTGAAAATGTGTGACTATAACACCTCTAATCAACATACAGTGAAAATGTGTGGCTATAACGCCCCACACTGTAGCGTTGCTGTGGTGGAAACGGGGTACAAAAGTACAGATCAGGTACCATAACTCTGCTAAAACTGTGAAAGTTTGGTAAACAGGGAGTTATCTTCCTTACTATGTATTCGATACCGACTTGACGATCGAGCATCTGGTGGAATGTCCGGATATTGGAGAGACCCGATGGAAATATTTTCAATGTGCACATCCAAGGAATGGTTTTTACGTGGTTGATCCCCACGGAATGCTTACAGTCTTTTTTTTTAACGTTAATTATTTTAATATTCCAAATGCAAATAATGTTATTTCAAACGCGCACATTTGTGCTTTTAAAACTGAATTTTTACTAGGTAGGGCGTGCAGACAAAATGAGTTACTTCTCATAATACACAATTTAAAGGAAATATTACCAAAAATCGACACTGGGGTCAAATGTGTAGACTTTTCTATTGATGCCATATTCAAAGTATAACATGCCTTTTATTATTTGATATTTATATATGGTAAAAACCACCTATAAGGGTGACGTATCTATTTTCTTAAGGCTTGAATCTGAGAAGTAACTCATTTCGTCAGCACGCTTCGCCTTTGTATTTTTATATACTACAGTCACTCTGACTTACAAAGTAAAACTAGGATGTGCTGTGAGCTAACGTGAATTCAACTAACTTGTGCCCAGGGCGCTACTAATGATGACCGTACGCAGATATAGACGCCGTAAAACTGTTACCAAAACCACCAAGGGATCTTTTAACGCGCAACTTGCCCATGGGACCTCCGAGATTTTTCGCCCTTCTCCGAAAAGGCCAGGTGTTAGATCTTACCTACCATAAGATCAGGGACGTGGCTGAAAGACAGCAGTAAGAAGGGGCCAAAGAGTAGCAGTATAAAGGCTGCAGACAGAGTCAGGAGTCCAGAGGGGGAGGCAAAGGAGGTGAGGGGGGTGGGGCAGAAATTGGAGACGAAAGAAGATGATAGAACATTTCAGGAGAGCAGGAAAGGAGGTGAAAGGAGACAGTTTTATAGAAGAAAAGTTTCCGTCGCTGTCCGGATTCGAATCCAGGACCTACTGAATGAGAGGCAAATACCGTGACCCCTCGACCACATGAGCTTCCTATTTCCTTCTACGTTTGTACCGAAATGACAACATTTGTGAGGTGTGCTGACAAAATGAGTTATTTCTTACAACCAACAAATCGATATATTGGCCAAAAATCGGCACTAGGGCCAAATTTGTAGATTTTCTATTGATGCCATAATCTTTAACTATAACATTACTTTTAAAAAATTATTATTTTATACTTATGAATTGTAAAACTTTCACCTATAAGCATGGTGTATTAATTTTCATCAGATTTGAATCCGAAGAAGTAACTCAGTTTGTAAGCCCACTTCACATTAATTTATGTTCAGTCAAGAGATTGAAACAGAGCCATTATATCATCCAGGCCCGAGGCATTAAAGAACGAACAACTGCCTCAGCAGGGATTTTAAGAGGTTAATAAAAAAAATAAAACAACCAACTGCACGGGCTGTGATTTTAAGAGGTTAATAAACAACTAGATCTAGATGAGATGTGGTTTAAGAGGTAAAATAAATATAATAAGCAACTGCATAAGCTGTGGTTTTAAGTGGTTAAATAAATAATAAACAACTACTTGGGCTGCGATTTAAAGGGTTTAGCTAAATAATAAACAACTGCACAATATGGTTACATTTAAGCGCAAACGGGGCTTTCCCGAACAGTGCTGTTTTGAGAAAATCGAAGGTAACGTTTTTGAACCCTTGTTCTGTTTTTTTTTTAAAGACAAGGAAAGTTTTCTCTATAACCAAGCAAATGTACACACCAGTGAAACAAAACTTCTTCTATAGGAAGGGCAATGCCAACTTTGGTGGAGGTCATAATTCCTGGAAACCCCCGAAATCTGGGTTCACCCGCTTGTCCCTGAAAGTGACCTTAGTATATGATTCTGTCTCCTAAAACTTCCTCTTTTGGTCAGAACCCCCCCCCCTAAAAAAAACAACAACAAAAAAACCAAAACGGCAGTGAACCAGTCTTGTAGAACATAAACCAGAGCACAATGTCTACCGCACAGTAGTGAAGGGGTTAACCAAAACATAGTGTCAAACGTCAAAGAGTGAGAGCAGTGCCTTGGGTAAGAAATTACAACAGATGGATCAGCTATTTGTATAAGCTGCTAAAAATGCACAACATGCAGGTTTCTAAAAGTTGCTAAAAATGCACACCAGTTGTTCTAAAAGTTGCTAAAAATGCACACCAGTTGTTCTAAAAGTTGCTAAAAATGCACACCAGTTGTTCTATTAAGAAGCATATCACGAGATTGATTTATGGGGAAAAGAGGAATAGGACGACCAAAGGTGCACTGAGACAAAGATCGCACATAACAGGATAGTTCACTCGACCTAAAAAGTGTCCGCGGAAGTCCGCGCATTACTTCAGATGTCACTGCAGTCTTTGTTTTGAAGCTCTGTTACGTTTCTACCGAAGAACAATATTGAATAGTACGGTTTGTTAGTTTCGCTTTTATTGTCTTTCACACAAGTAGGGTAACTCTTTTCGCAAAGTCCGCTTTTTTTATAGAAAAGGGCGCCACCGAATTCTGAGGACACTTTTTTAATTGGCTCAAAGAGAGGAGTGAACTATCTTGTTATGTACGGCCTTTGACTGAGACTAACAGACAAGAAATGGAGTCGTCTCTGATTGCCTCATGCGTCTCAGGTCTACGTCTAAGTAAGTCTAAGTCTAAGTCTACGTCTGAGTCTAAGATTGAGTATAAATCTAAGTATCGAGTCAAAGTCGAAATATTTGGAATTGAAGGAGGTCAGGGTCGCCACGTTTCAGAGGTAAAATTAGAGAGAAAATGGCCGTCAAAGTTTGGTGATTTCCGAGAGCCTTGAGAGTCCTTGGAAACTTAAAATTCACATTTCTTGTGCCTGTAATCAATGTTTCTAAGTAAAATCAACACAGAAATGAGTTTTGTTTTTAAATGGACATATAAGGTGTTGAGCCAAATAACAACCCACCACCCCCCCCAAAAAAAAGAAAAGAAAAAAAATTGTCAAACTGGAGGAAATAATGCCGATATCTTCGATTTCATTATTTTTGGAGAGCGTCTGCTTTCACCACAATGACTCACATTTCTTTGGCTGTATTTGAGCGCTCACCAGATTCATTGTTTGCTGTGTCGTCTCTTACGTTATGCCATAAAACAATGGACTCAAGTCTTGTTCTAAGTGCGGCTAAATCACACCCTACCACACCACGACAGAAGCCGTAAGGCTGCACGTAGTTTGAACGAGATGACGCTAGATAACGATGTGATAATGATAAGAAGAGAAACATGAATGATTATATTATGATAATAACAGTGAAACAACGACAATAATAA